CCCTAACCCTTATAAGCCAACTGAACACACCCCTATAAATGTGCATCCCCTTTAAAGTCCACGAGATCGCCAAAACAGGTCCCAAACAGAGCCACCCCAATAAACCCTAAACCCTAAAACCCTACACCCTAACCCCTATAAGCCAACTGAACCCCTACACCCCTCTAAATGTGCATCCCCTTTAAAGTCCACGAGATCGCCAACAGGTCCCAAACAGAACCACCCCAATAAACCCTAAACCCTAAAACCCTACACGCTAACCTCTAACCCAACTGAACCCCTACACCCCTATAAATGTGCATCCCCTCTAAAGTCCACGAGATCACCAACAGGTCCCAAACAGAACCACCCCAATAAACCCTACACCCTAAAACCCTAAAGCCTAACCCCCAAGTCCTCACCACCACCTCATGTGCATCATGGGCATCTCAAAATGCACAAGTCGTTCTCCTTTTGTTGGCATGTAGGCCGTCAGCAAAATGAATGGTGTATGCTTTCACGAAGCCACTCCTCGGAGCTTTCCAAGCTCTTGGCACTACCGGATTGCGGGAGCCCGAGCTGCCCTGAAGAAGATGGGTTTATGGTTTAGTGTTTAAGGTCCAGGGTTTAAGGTTTAGTGTTTGAGTTTAGGAGTTTTGGGTTTAGGGTTTACGATTTAGAGTTGGGGTTCAGGGCTTTGGGGTTCTGGATTTTAGCATGCCGGCTTCGGGGCCAAGGTAGGATGCTGTGGGGCATAATATATGGATTCGCACATGGAACGATGCAGGGGTTTCGGCTAAATAGCTCCCGGGTGTATGGAATGATGTAGGGGATTAGGGTTTTGTATACCGGTAGATACAAGAACATATATTCGGGCTTGGGGTTGGGTGCTTAGGGTTGTGCATACACATGGAATGCCCTAAACCCTGAACCCCAAACCCCAAACCCTCAACCCTAAACCCAAACAACGGTGTATGCTAGGCTCCTACACCCATACAAACACAAGCCTACAGAGCAAAAGCAGCACTCTCACGGCACTCCCCTCTAAGGTCTCGCTGGTTGCAATCCGAATCGCAAAACTGAACTCTAAAGGTCCTCATAAAATCTCTCGGAGTCCCTCTCAGTTCTTGGAGGCCCTGATCTTGCCTTTCATGGATTCGATCAATTCGTTGCTTTGCTGGGTCGTGGAGGCGGTCTCTTTCAAAAAGTTCTCGAGGGATGCTTGGGTGAGCTTTTCCTCCTTGGGGAGAATGCCGAGGTCGATCAAATGCTGTAGGGCAAGGGCCAGCTGCTGGCAAGCCTGCACGGTCTGGCGAATCTGCTTGCTATCCTCCACGGCAAACACCTTGCCATCATTCTTCAGCATCTTCAGACCCTCAGCGGCAAGCTTGTTCTGGCTGTTGAGAGCATCACGAAGCAGCTTTTTCATGGGATCCGAGATTTCGCCGTCCATGATGGCATCATCGCTCATAGCTTTTTTCCATGACCACTTGAGCTGGGTCATCATGCTCTCCAGCTGCATTGCCTCCCTGCGACCCAACTTCTTGGCATTCTCCATTTGGTGCTCCTCCTTGTAGCCGCCCTCCGAACCCATGATCACCTGCTGGAAAGCATAGAACTCCTTTCCATTGTGCTCTTTGCAGTGCACATCGCCCTTCTCCACGGCCCGGTCNNTCGCCATGGAAGTGCTTGGCTATGAACACAGTCTTGGCGACTCCGATCTCCTCGTCACGACTGTACTTCTTGTTGTACACAGCAAGGCTCTGTTTGAACATCACATCATTGGTATTCATGATGTACTTCCCGTCCTTGGTTTGGGTGAAGAGGCGATTTATCACATCCGTCTTGTGTTCGCGGGGATTCACACCATCCGGCACATTGTTGTAGTACTCTTCGATGTGTGCTGGCAAGGCCCCTCGGGCCTTCAATTTGGCCCACTTCTCCCCCTTCCCCTTCGATCTCTTGGCATTGTCAGCTGCATCCTCCAGAGCATGGATACTCTCGTTGAGTGTGCAAGCCGCTGGTCGCTTCATCTGCTTTCCCATAGCTGCAGCGAAGAAAGGCGGGGGTCTGGCAACACAAACTGGTTCGAACCTCTGGGCAAGCTGGCCGGCTCCACTGATTGTGCTGCTGCCAAACACAAGAAGCCACCGAAACAGTGTCGAAGTTTGGTCGAAGTTTATATGCAAACTTCGATGCAAAGTTCGATGGTTTTAGCCATTTGTGCCGTAGGGCCTGCCTGCAAACAGCATGAAACTTCGATACAAACTTCGAGCAAGGGTGTCGAAGTTTGGTCGAAACTTCGACCAAATTTCGACACCCAGATTGTTTCGATACCTTGCACCCAAGAAATTCCGACCTTGCCACATGAGCTCCGGTTGGCTCTCCTTTGTGTTCCGATCCGAAAAAAACCTACTCCCTCTCTTTCTGCCTGCCTCCGAAAGCCTTCCCCTCAGGGTTTTTCCAAAATCCCTCAAAGTCTCTCAGGGTCCACCAAGATCTCTCACAGTCTCTCAGGGTGGCCAGCCAAAGTGCCTAGTACAGCAGAAGCCGATCATCACGAGCACCTGGCAGAGCTGGGGCAGTGCTGTTTGGCTGGGCTGAACATATTCATTCCTCTGCATTCGTTGGGTTTTGGGTTTTGGGTTTAGGGTTGGGTTTTTAGGGTTGGGTTCTGGGTTTAGGGTTTAAGGTTTAGGGTTGGGGTTTAGGGTTTTGGGTTTAGGGTTGGGTTCTGGGTTTAGGGTTTTGGGTTGGGTTTGGGGTTTAGGGGTTTAGGTTGGGAGTGGGTTCCGGAAACCCTACAAACCCACCAGGTTACAACTGCAAACCATTATATATCCGGAAGCTTCCAGATTCCAGAAGGCTATTGGAGAAGCAGATTATCGTTTAGGAATACCAATATGCTTTCCGTGATTTGGGAGGACCTGTGCTTTCAGAGCTTTCGGAACTTGAACATATATATGCATTTGGATATATGTAGATCTATATATACACACATGTATATAGATCTACATATATATATATATAGATATAAAGATGTATAGATCTCTCTATGTATATATATATATATGCACCTATGAAACCTACACATGTATCTATCCATCTCTCTATCTTTATCGTATAATGGTGTTCAGCAAGCAGGACCGGGCTGAAGGGTTCTGGCAAAGCGACCATGTAGAGGGTTTCAAAGGAGAGTCTCGGAGTCTACGGTTCGGGATTGGAGGGTTGGGCACTACAGGATTCAAGTTATAGGGTTTAGGGCTTAGGGTTTAGGGTTTAGGGCCTAAGGGTTGGGTTTGGGGTTTAGGTTTTTTGGGGTTGGAGTTGGGTTCGGGATACCCCACAAACCCCCCAGCTTACAACTGCAAACCTTGAGGGTTTGGGGTTTGGGGTTGGGTTTTGGGTTTCAAAAACCCTAAACCCTAAACCCTAAGCCCTAGGATTTAGGGTTGCAATTGGGTTCGACAAACCCTAGAAACACACCAGCTTACAACACCAAACCTTGAGGATTTGGGGTTTTGGATTTAGGGCTTAGGGTTGGAAGTGGCATCGGCAAACCCTAGAAACCCACCAGCTCAGAAATTCAAACCTTTATAGGGTTTAGGGCTGGGTTCTGGGTTTAGGGTTTAGGGTTTTGGGTTTAGGGTTGGGTTTGGGGTTTAGGGTTTAGGGTTTTGGGTTGAGGTCTCAAAGTATTTGGGTTTGGTTCTATATAGCTAGACCCCGATGAATGCAGAGATCGAAGCTTCCCTTTTCAGCGGCTGCTGGACTCGGATCGCGATCGCCGCCTCGACTTGGATCGCCGCCGCCTCGACCTGGATCGCCGCCGCCTCGACTTGGATCGCCGCCGCCGCCGCGAACTCGACTTGGATCGCCGCGAACTCGACTTGGATCGCCGCCTCGACCTCGATCGCCGCCCAGAAAAAGACACAGCAGGGCTTGTCGTGCTCCCCACCTCCTCCTCCTCCTGGCCCTCCTGGCCTTCCGAAACTCCATAGCCATCAGTTGCCACTCGAGCGAGGCCCAAAAAATAATCCTGAAGCTCATTGTCATCCTCGCTCACCAATGGCTCCTCTCCAGCGAGGCCCAAAAAAAATCCTGAAGCTCCTCATCGCCCACCTCCTCATCGGCACCAGCAACAGGAGCAGCACCAGCGAGCAGGTGTGCCGGAGGTGGAAAGCTCGGAGGCTTCGGCACCATCTTGGGCATGGCAGGTGCCTCCTTCGGATCTTCAGTAGCCAGCAGTGGTTGTGGTGGTGGTGGTGGTGGTTGTCGTGGTGGTGGTGGTGGTCGTGGTGCAGCCTTGCTATAGGTCATCGCCGTCGTTCGATCCCGAGGCCTCGCAACTTCGGCCTTCAAGGGCAGCCCCTTAAACACCACACCATCCATAAGTCCAGCCACCCGAACAGCCTCATCATTCGTGCCCACGGTGATAAAGCATGACACAGCCCCAGTGGTCCCATGAGCTATGAGGCCTCGCCGAACAATCTGAATCCTTCCATGATTCTGGCAGCCATTATAAGAGAGCAGCTCTGATATCTCCAAAGTCGTAGCAGAAAAAACCACGTTTCCCAGGTAAACACGATGATCCATGGTGTGAGACGTCTGCTTGCACGGCTTTGTGGGGCTTCTCTGCTCCTTTGGTTTATGCTAGTATGCTGCTATCCAGGGCTGTGTGTGTGTGTGTACATGTGACAGTGCACGGGGAGTCGAGGCCGGAGGGCTTTCGGAGGGCTTCGCTTTTCCTTTCATCACCTACTACATATATCGTATGTATCTGTGTATTTACATTTACAAACCCTAAACCCTAAGCCCTAAACCCTAAACCATATACTAATCAAACCC